TACCCTCCTTGAGCGCCAAATCAAGAACAAAACGCTTGATGCTCACATTCGAGACGAGTCAGAAGCGGCCCTTGCCAGAATCAACTGGTTCTTTGCCACCCTGCCAATTCATACACAGACTATCTCAACCTTCTGCACACGCCTTCACCCTCTATCCCAGACTATCCGCTTGGTAAAGCACTGGTTCAACTCCCACAAACTTTCAAGCCACATCAGCGAGGAGCTTATTGAGCTCTTCGTTCTGCACGTGTTCTTACAACCATACCCATGGAGAGCCCCCACGAGTCCCTCAACAGGTTTCTTACGCACCCTAACATTCCTGTCTCGCTGGGATTGGCGTGACGAGCCTCTGATCGTCGACTCCGCAGAGGAGCTGACAGATGATGATCGCCATAACATTCGCAAGGAGCTTGAGGCTCGGCGCAAGAAGGATCCGAACATGAATCACACAGTCATGTTTGTTGCCACTTCCAATGACACTTCTGGTCTCGCTTATACCCGCAATGGACCTTCTAAGCTTATCGCTTCACGTATGACCCGACTGGCTAAGGCTGCATGCAAACTTGTGAAGGACAGCGGATACCGTATTGATGCTACTGAGCTCTTTGAAACTTCTCTCGAAGACTACGATGTTCTTTTCCATCTTTCTCGTAAAGCTATTCGCTCGATTCTCCGAGAGGCTGCTTCTGACCCCTCGGCCCGCCGCCACTCCCAGTTCAAGAACCTCGATGATCGCACAGGTCGCGCACCGCTCCCCATCCGTGCTCATCCTGTCGACGTGTTGATGGAGGAGCTACAGCGTGTATACGATGATTCACTTGTATTCTTCCGGGGAACCAACAACAGCGACGAAGACGATGCCGTGGTAGGGGCTATCTGGAACCCGAAACTTCAGCAGCAGAAGTTCCGAGCTGGTCTACCTTATAACTTCCACAAGGTAACCGATGAAGATGGAGACGTTGTCGTGGTGAACCGCAAGGCAGTGCTATCAGAGATTGCTAGGATTGGTGGCGATATGATTAGAAAGATTGAGGAAGTCGAGTAAAGCTGACGCATCGTTCAAGAGGCGAAGATACATTGGAGAATACCCACGCATATAGATCGAGATATAAACTCAGGCTATCATCTTGAGAAATGTTTTCAAAAGTGTATTTTTACGTCAGGCGTCGAACCTTGCTTCACATTTTGAGGTGGCCATATGGTTATGGAGTAATTTAAATTTGATTGATAACTGTCAAATAGAGATACTGTTTGAATCAAGTGGTCCAGATTGGACTTCAGAACCACTATCAAAGATCTTTACTGATATAAGCCCGTTGTCTGTGAATGGTGGGTGGAGTCCTTTTGTGGGATCCATGGTGATCAAAAGATACGTACCTTGTTTAATTGCCATACCTTAGGTCCCTAAGCGGAAACAGCTTTACGCGAAAAGACGCGTCTAACGCGTTTCACTTTCACCCCTCAGCCATTATCTTTAGTCAATCTTGCGGTCCCATCACTGCGACAACCAGCAACGACAACTCCGAATCCCATAGACGCACTGAAACTGATCGCAACTACAATTACTATCCGTTAATCAAAATGCCCCATTCTGTCGAAGCAGAAGCCATGTCATCCCCGAGTAATGTTAAGGACGAGCCTACGGAGGAGACAGGAATATCTAATGAGACTCCCAATGCGCCAGAAGCTGATGTCAAGATGAACGAGACAGAAGACGTCAAAAAGGAAACCAAACAACTCGAGGACCTATTCGATGATGTCGACTCGGACGAGGAGTTTCCCAGTTCTGCAGCTGTTCAGCCAAGCTCACAAGTTGCACCGCTTTTGTACGTAAAATCCACGTTTGGGTCTAACAGTTGAACTAATTGATTAAAGCGATGCTATGACATTGAAAGCCTCAGATCCTGAAGTCATGCGAAGCTTCTATCAGCGATTATTCCCATGGCGATACCTATTTCAGTGGCTCAACCACAGTCCAACCCCAACAAACGATTTTGGCAACCGAGAGTTCGCTTTCACACTCCAGAATGATGCCTACCTCCGATACCAATCTTTTCCTACCGCCGATATGTACGTGCTATTCTTTTTATTGCGCTTTAATACTCATATCGTTGCAGGCTTCGCAAGGACGTTCTCCGACTAATGCCCTCTCGTTTCGAAATCGGACCAGTGTACACCACCAATCCCCGCGACCGAAAGCAACTCCGTAACTCATCCGCCTTCAAGCCCCTCGCAAAAGAACTATGTTTCGATATAGATTTGACAGATTATGATGATATTCGAACATGCTGTGATAAAGCGAATATCTGCAACAAGTGTTGGCAGTTTATGACAATGGCTATTAAGGTGGTTGATGCTGCGCTGCGGGAAGACTTTGGCTTCAAGCACATTATGTGGGTGTACTCAGGGCGACGAGGTGCTCACGCTTGGGTTTGCGATAAGAAGGTTCGAGGCATGGACGATCAGAAGAGAAGAGCAATTGCGGGCTACCTCGAGGTGGTCAAGGGAGGTGCTCAGAGCGGCAAGAAGGTGAATGTGAGGAGACCATTGCATCCTCATTTGGCGTAAGTTTATGAATTAGACTCTTGTGAAGGTGATATACTAATTCCTTATAGCCGAAGTTTGGAGATACTGAAAACTCATTTCCAAGAAGACGTTCTTGATGTCCAAGACCCCTGGGCTTCTGCTGAGCAATCTGAGAAGCTATTACAGCTTCTTCCAAACCATAACCTCAACGAATCATTAAGGAGGAAATGGGATGCCGCTCCAGGACGTGCATCAGCCTCAAAATGGGCAGATATTGACGCAGTAGCAAAGTCGGGCGCCAGCAAAAATCTTGACGCCAGACAACTCCTTGAAGCCAAGCAGGACATCGTCTTAGAGTACACCTACCCCCGACTGGATATTGAAGTCAGCAAGAAACTCAACCATTTGCTGAAGAGTCCTTTTGTCGTGCATCCTGGTACTGGTCGAGTTTGTGTGCCCATTAACACAAAAAACCTCGAGGACTTTGATCCTCTAGGTGTGCCTACGGTGCAGGGTCTTCTGGCGGAGATAGACTCTTGGAAGGGAGAGGAGGAGGAGGGTGGTAAAGGCACAGCTGATTGGGAAAAGACAAGCCTGAAGCCATATATTGAGCAGTTCAGACACTTTGTCAATGGGTTGATGAAGGATGAGAAGGATGTAAAGGTTAAGCGGGAGCGGGAGGATGAAACCATGGACTTTTAGACGCGATATGAGATGGGACAAACTTATGAACAGTATATTTGGTATATTAGGAATTTGCTTTTGGAATTGGCTGGCGCCGCACGGCACTAATACAGATGTTTCTACTTTGAAGGAGCTTCGACTTCAGGGGTATGGGTTTGAGGGGTAGTCTCCTCAGCATCAGGGTCCTTGATCTCTTGATCTTCCTCCTCAAGCTCCTCGACCTCACCCCCCTCAGCTTCTTCTGCCTCACCTGAATCATCCTTCTGGTCTCTCAAGTGACCGCCCTTGCGCTTAGGGATGACACTCAAAAACGCATCGCCCCAGTTCTCGTACTCGAGCCACTTGAGCATGATCTCGACGACGTGGTTTGTCGCTAGAACCGTCCGGCTCTGCATCACCATGTACTGACCGATAGGCAGCCGAGCCGTTCGGATGCCACGTTCCCTCGCTCGTTTGTAGCACAGTCCCTTTTCACGGTTCTTGTCGACGAGGCCGCCGATGACATAGCTTGTGTTGGGCTCGAGGCGGTCGAGTGTGTATGGTGAGTCTGACGATAGATAAACGATGTCCTGATATTCAGGAGAGGGTTCTGGCTCGGGATCAGGTAAAGGGAGAGGGTCCTTTTCGTCCCTCACCCAAGGGGTTTTGTTATCCAGGCTCCTCTGGAGTTGATCGACCATGTGGTCACTCGGATCCTTCATCTTCTCCCGAGCCTGCTTCGCACACTCGATGAAATCCCCGTCCACAAAGTCAATGCCCTTCCAGTTATTGTGTTTGTCATCGAGGACCTGGTGGAACCGCTCAGCCAGTTTTCCATTCCAACCTGAGACGAAGATGTGTGTACGATATCTCGCATTTTTGTTCTCTGAGTATGACCTGGTGATTTGGCTGCCGAGTGAAATGAGCTCCTTCTCACGCATGTATTGCTCAAAGTCACAGTCGAAGATGAGTGTAACAGGTACATTAACTGAAGGAGGTTTCTGCTGCTTATTGGCATTTGGATCGATGCCCTGAGCGATAAGCGCTGCCCTTTCTTCACGCTTGCGGACTTTGCGTGCGATTCGGCTGTCCTTTCGCTTCTGCTTGCGCTCCTCCTTTCCAGCTTCCCATTGCTGATGTTTTCTCAGACGCTTGAGAGCGTTCTTGGACATAGGTCCGGCAGCTTTGTCATCTGCAGGCCGTTTTTGAGGAATAATTGAGCCTTCCGTTGGAGGCACATTGTCTGTTGGCTTTGTGTGATAGTCGGTGGTGACTGTTTGCTCACCATGTCCAGTGTCGGTTGAGTTTTCTGGTGGTGGTGGTGGTTGCTGATGAGAAGATTGACCTGTCTCTCCTTCACTTGTCGTTGGTTCCATCTTGGGAAGATCAATTCTTTCGATCTTGTTTATACAGAAAATCAATGTGTGGCGAATTGAGCTGTTGTATCAATTTAAAGTCAGTTCAGGTTAACTTCTCTTAGATCAAGTCGTATAAGAGGTTTGCCAGGATAACGTCGTATGAAAGCGAGCTGCGTAACGTTCTTATCGTCGAACAATTTCGGGAATTAAATGATTATATGAGCGTAATAAGAGGCCAGTCTCTGTATGGATCGATGGCATATCAATCGAATAGCGCCATCAGATTTAAAGCACAGGAGAAAGACTATCTTGTTAAGCTCATAGCCAATTTTTCTCAATAGTCCAGTTATGGTGGGGCATAGTGGGGGTACGTACCCCGACAGAGGACTTGAAATTCATCAAGCTCTCAAGAGCCAATAGGAGCAGATCAATTGAATGACCAACGTCACGTGTTCCGGTGGAGGCACCTCAATCCTACAGTTTGCATAGCTTGGCTTCAACCTCAGGTCTACGAAATAAAAGCTCCCAACTCCTCTCCCTTACAGCAATCGCAATGGAGCACCCGTCGAGCGCGAATTGGCAGGCCCACAAGAAGGCCGACAACCTTTTCAAGCCTCACGATGTCCTCGATGACACCGCAAAGGCTGGTGTGATCGGTGCTCTCAGCGGTCTCTTCCTCTCCTCCGTCAAGAATGCCATGGCCAAGAACAATATCGGCATCTTGAGCGTCTTCACCCGAGGTGCTCACATTATCGGTATTGGAGGTACGATAGATGTGGTGGACAAGACCAATTGAAGGTTTCGCGATACTAATTACGTCGTTTAGCTGCCGCTCCCGCCGCATATGTCTTCGTCTCACGAAGCTCAATGAACCTCCGCGAAAAGGACGACGCCTTCTCGGCTGCCCTCGGTGGCTTTGCCCTGGGTTCAGTTCTCGGCCTTCCCAGTATGACCTGATCTTGTACCTCAAATCACAGTAACCGCATTATTTAACACGCTGCAGCGAGACGAATGCCCGTTGTCATGGGACTCGGTGGTGGTCTCGCAATCTTTCAGGGTATGTTCCACTACCTCGGCGGCCGATACGATAGCTTCAAGAGAGAGGACGACGAATTCGAGCGCAAGGAGATCATCCGACGAAGCACCCGACTGCCAATTGAGCAGACTATTTCAGAGATTGGCGAGGGCCGAGGTAAGTCGCGCACGACGTTTGATGTGGACGGGCAACCTCTCACACTTTAATAGGCATCCGACCTCCTGGATATGAGGAGCGTAGGGCAGAGCGACTTAGTGAGAAGTACGGTGTTGAGATTAATCCCATTAAGGCGACTGTCGAGGGTAGCCAATAAGCACGAAGCGACAAGCGGGCGAACGGGACGGGAGCGATTGTACATAACTCTTCTGGGCGAGGAAGAGATGCTACACTAGAGAATTGGAGTTTTGTTTTGTTTCCATGTGAAACTCTGAACTGTGCCAACTCACGCTTGGGCAGTCAGTTTTCCCCCAAAAGGTACGTTATCTGAGTTTTCTTTCATCCTAACCCCTTCTGCGATGATGATGCACCGAGTCAGAGGCTGTTTATGATCGTAATGATTCCAAACCTCACCAATATCTACATCCTGAGCCCCTATTTTCACTCTTTATAAGTCCATTAATTTTTTACGGGAAAATACTAACTGCATCAAAGACATTAGGCACGTTATCTATTTACGACAGTTTCTCTGTGTAAAGCATTATGGTATGTGTACTTTCTTTCACCTTCTTGCCATACCGTTCGATGATGATACATCGAGTCAGAGGCTGTTTATGATCTAAATGATTCCAACGCTCACCAATATCTACATCCTGAGAACCTCCTACCATCTGTCTTTGTTTACCGCAAGCTCCTTTGGGTGTGTTGCTAACTCATCCAAGTCTAGTTATCCTAGTTAATTCGCGTTTCATGTGTGCCACAAGCATTCTTTGTCCTGAATTTGCTTTACGGTCCTCTCGTTGTTTGTGCCAGTATAAGCTAGCGATTTCCTTTTCATTAATGCGGATTATCTCACGTTCTCATCTTCAACCTTTTCTGAATGTATCCATCCATCCTGTGCCTCGTTTGGGCTCCATTTGCTTCTGCACTTGATCCTATTTTCCCAACTCAACGACTCTAGCTTGTGATTCGGTCTTCCATTCATGTTGGACAGATCTCAGACCTTGACCACCTTCAATCCGACTTGCACATAGCGTGCAAAGAAGAAAAAAATGCACCCAGCCAGCATAGAACAACCACAGAACAACTGCAGGCCGAGATAGTCGCCATCTTGAGCAGACACGATGGCACCAGCGATAGGGCTCCCTGTCAGAGCACCGAAAGACTGAATCGCAAACGCGGCGCCAACCCGAGTACCAATTTGACGAATATCGGAGAGCTGTGCGATGAGAGTCGGGACGAGACTGATATAGCCACCCGATGAGAACCCAAAAATGACAGCAAATACAACAATACCGGCCGTATCCTTGACAGGAATCCAGACACAGAAACAAAAGAGGGCGGAGATGAAAGTGATGATGATCATGACGTTGTATCGGCCGATTTTGTCGGCGATAATGCCAGGAATAATACGACCAAAGATGCTGTGGTCAAGTCAGTACGTATTTCAAAGCTGGAAAGGGCGTGACATACCTCACGGCATTGAGGATAGGTAGCAGGTAAGGAATCAAAGTCTTGGACATGCCCGCAGCCTGAGCCTGGAGTAAGACATAGTTGAAAGGAAGAAACATGCCCCACATGAAGAGAAAGAAGCCGATGACAGTGATGAGGATAGGAAGTTCGCGGAGACCGTTGATGTAGTCCTTGACAACAAAGGGTTTGGGGCGAGGAGGTAGGCGGGACTTGACAGTGAGACAAGAGAAGACGAGCAAAACGAGGAACATGAAAGCCATGGTACGCATCATCCAGGGGAAGCCGACACTCTTGATCATTTTATCCATCATGATTGGAAGAACAACGCCTCCAAGAGATGAGCCCGAGACCATGATACCGAAAGCGCCAGCTCTACGCTTGAAGAACCAGGTGACGAGTGAGGACATGCAGGCGTTGAACACAGCGCTTGATCCAATGGCTGCGACGATGGACTGTGAGAGGAAGAACTGATAGTATTCTTTTGACAAGGATACCATCATGAGACCGAAGATGTAGAAGATTGTGCCGAACCAGAGGAGGTACTTGGGGCCGTAGTTATCAAACAAACTACCAAACTAGCAAGAGGTCAGTTTATTGCTTGATACGAAGAGGGCACACATACAATGGCACCGCAGAAGACCATGAAGAACACCTCAACAGAGGTGATCCAGCTCACAGCAGAGCTATCATAATCCCTAAGCGGTCCAGAAACATAGTATTTCTGGAAGACACCTACGCAGTTCACAAGGCCGAATGTGCAGAATAGAGCACACCATCCACCAAAGACAACAAGCCAAGCCTCGAAACCTCCATCTGGGAAATCAGCCGGTGCCATTCCAGGTGGAGGACCTGCTGGCGGTTGCTCTTGTTTCTTCTCATCATCGTCACCACGCTCGAGGTCTGCGATGACGGCGTTGGCAGGTTCTGGATGTATATTGGCTTCTGTTTTGGTGATAGGTTGAGGACCTGACTTTTCTGGGTCTGTTGAAGTGGTTGGTTGGAGGTTTCTGTCATTGACCGTCTCGGAGGAGGAGGATATTGTCGAACGCGCCATGATTATGATTGTGTATGTGTAATCTGAGACGTAGGTGCTAAGAAAGGAAAGAATATTATTATATGTTGCGTGTTACTCAAGCTGCCACTGGATTATAATATGTCAGTGCTAGCAAGTGTAAATCATTGTTGTGCAGTAGAGGTAGTATATTTGAGTCCATGGGGTATATGTAGTTACCAGAACCTTTATAATTCTTTCACTCTGTAAATCTCACTGCCTTATATCTTTGTATCTATATAATCTATGTTAGCTAGTGGGGTAGATCTCCCGCTGTTGAAACCAATACCTACCGTATCCTTGCACCTCAATCGGTGTATTCGTCCTTGGCGGAGGTGATAAGTCCGTTGAAGTGTGGGTCAAGATCGGCTTTAACAAGGGTACTTTTGCTTATTTCGCCCGTTATCAAACACTCGTAGGGCTGGTCTCACTCTGACATTGGACTTAGCTCAAAGCCGAGTCGCGAGCTGTCTAAGCCCAAAGCGTGGCTGGGAGCGAAAATCATCCAATAATTTCGAGATATGGTAACATAAGATTACTCCTTTCGAGCCTACATTATTAATACAGTACGAAAGGAATGGTTTGTCAGGTAAGTTGGCTGCATGAGATGAGTCAGTGATCGTCATCCTTTTCTAGCCTGTGGTTGAGCTATTACTCCTATAGGACCTGAATAGACCGCTCGGATCCGATGCGAGAAACTGATTAGCCCGACTATCAAGTACCCAGTGGCATGCGCTGTTGAGATGGCGCTGGCTGTGCCTCTTCAAGACTTAAGCCACGTCCTCAGTATGAGCCGAATTCCCGAACACACCAATCAAGTGATAACTCTTCGAACGTCTCGATATTGATACATAAAGGCTTCAGCTCTATGATGGATAGTAGGTAGGGAAGTAATCATACATGATAAACAAAACGTCGTGCTGTGTAAAAGTCTCCTGCTCATCTGCCTCCTTTTTTATTTCATGCTCTGCAACATCGGTCGCTCATATCTTGTTGTCCCTCATCTGCACATTCTTATCGTATGAACTCCTTGAGGTCCTTGTTGTCCTCAAATTTCACCTTCCCATCCTTCTCAACTGTGGCAACGTGAATTCCGGTCACTGACTTATCTTCCACCTCTGGCTCAACAGCCTTAACAGGGGCAGGCTTGGTCTCAGCACCGTCAGTCAGCTTGGGTTTGTTCTTTAGGTCGAGGGCTTCGGTCAGAACACCGGGCTGAGCATCAGCAATCTCATTCACTTGCTTGTTGGTGAGAACGTCTGAAGCGCGCACTCCTCGGCTGGACATAAGGATCTTTGTGGGGCCATGGAATTGGAGGAAGAGGCGATCACCCCAGATGGTTCGTCGAGTAGCTGTTCGCATGCTGTAGGAAACTCTTGCCAAGTACTTCCATACCTCCGAGTTGCGGACAGTCGTCACCCACTTAGGCTCTGAGATCCATCTCGATAGGGAGGGCACCTGGAGTCGTAGGCTGTTGCTCTTAAAGCGGAAAGGCTGTGGCGGATATCGGCTGATCGAGTAGGCGACAACACTTCCGGGATGCGCGACAAATTCTTCTCCCTCCTTGAGAGTAAGTTCGTAAATTTGCCCTGGTGCTGATAGAGCGGCGAGACCTCGTCCTGTTAGAAGTGTGTTTCCCCAATGTGCGAGTGTGAGGCTGCTCTGAATGCGCGCTGAGGGCGCAAGGGTGTGTCCTGTCCAAGCCAACAGCGCGTTCCTCTGTGAGATCATCCAATCCGTCGTTCCATCGAGGTGAAGAACTGTAAAAGTGGTTGTGGGTGACTTTGTCGATATCAACGCTGTAATGGGTGTCGTAGCGGAGATGCGCTGATAGAGGAAGGGAACGCCGAGGAAGGCTCGTGTAATCGGGTTAAGGATCGAGAGAGTGGATTGGGCCTGGTCATCGTATTAATAAGACTTCTAATAGCTTTGTCGTGATGTTGCGTACATTTTCAGGCTTGCCGGCTACAGCTACCAACGTGCCCCTCCGAGTATAGAGCTTCTGCGATGCCGACAAAGTCACAGAAAGGAGCGAATATGGTGAGCCAAGAACCTCGAATCGAGCATCTATACAGGCAAAAGGTCAGAGACTCGCTTCTATCATGGCTCAATGGCACAGAGAAATCATACCCGCAGGATCCCTCGTCTCGAGAGCTCCAAAAGCATCAGCTCCAACCTTTGGCGCTTCAGTGCTCGGCGCAGCGCTGATCTGAATACTCCTGCACTGAGTGCAAGTATACGAAGGCAATGCCCGCAGCCGTAGCCCTCGCGCCGCTCTCGTTAAGGGCAATTGGCCTCGCATTTTGTTGGATATATGAGCTCTGAAAGAGCTGTATAACTTGTATATCTACCACCTCACATTCAACTTCAAGCGCCGCTATCATCAAAAGCGAATCAGTGTTGTTAGCGGCTTTTCCCGTTCCCACACGTCATGTCACGTGGGATGATGGCGTTGCTGTGCCAACGCCCGTGCTTTCTTCCTCATTTCACTAGACCGCTACCCTTGCTATCTTCCTCTATAGCAAATCTTTGCTAACTCTCAGGACTTGGTAGCAGCCAGTCTGGTAGGCTGACAGAGTCCGACTCAACGATACCTTGAGCTTCTTTGCCCTCACAACCAATACAATCCTCTCGATACCGAATACACGTGTATACTTACACAATGAGTGTGAGAGTGGTCTCCAGGATAAGACCGCTACTCGAAAAGGAGCGCGAATGTGATATTATCGTTCGAGCTGATACCGCCGATTCTGGCAAGCCAAACACGGTCGTCAAGATCCCCAACCCCAAGAATGAGGCTGA